CCACATTTGTTGCAAAAACATCTGATCTGTTTCACTACGAATTACCAGGAGTATGACCAGATATTTGATTAGGGGTCGGTTTTTGAGACGAGGAAATATTCAATTGTATGGAATTACCTGTTGGAGTGGAATGGTTAGAATGTCCTTGCATTTGTTGTTGCGCTTGCTGATGGAGTAAATGGTGCTGTGGTGATTGCTGGGGTTGTTGTCCTTGATGTTGATTATTTAACTCATTATAATAGGATGGCGATTTACCTGGTGTTGACCCATTTGGTGAAAATATAGGGTTCCAAACTTGCTGGTCCATTTGTAGTGCTAATTAAAAAGATTGAGGTTGCTTTTTTATTTTTTTTTGTTCTGTATTCAACTCTTGGTGATTCTTTTCTCTCGGGATCCCTTTAGTCTTTGTAATGAATAGTAGTGATGACTATATGATGATAAGATCTTCTGAATACTGGTCTTGAAAGTAAAATAAGGCTTTAGCAAAAATTCCAGGATTGAGTTTTTTTTTTTAGTTTCAGTTTTGGTTGTCTGGGCTGTCTCTTTCAATTTCACTTTTTTTTTCTTTCGTTCTTACTTTCCTAGTGTTACAAATTCAAAAAATAAAAAAGCCAAAATTCAATGGAACTATGAAAATCCCCCCAAAAGTTTCAATTATTATTAAACAAATCAAAGGTGAAAATTTATACTCTAGTTGAGCTTGTATTGTAATATGAGATAACAAATTGGTATTGATCTCGTGTGTGTTCAACAAATTACTTGCGTGTGTGTAAGATACATAGATCAAATTACATCTGATAATTACAACAACAAAAAAAAAATTAAAGACGCTATTTTGATATTAAACTCTATAATGTTGAGTCACCATTGGGGGGCCAATAGCTCGTGACTTGATACCACTCGTTAGTTTTAATCCAATAAAATGAATCAGATTCAACTTGGTGGATGCTAATTATATCCCATATTGGAAATCAATATGGCACACGTGGGCCCCCCCCCTCGCTTTCTATCTCGCTCTTGATATCGCGTCCTATTTTTGCATACATTGTTAATCTTTTCTTTGTGTCTGTCCATCCATCCACGCGTGCGTGTGAGTGAGTACAAAAATTCAGTATTTCATTGTTCTATCAAAATGTAAGAAACAAAATGAAAAAATCTTTGGCCGCAAAACTTCATTTTTTTTTTCACTTTGTGTGCTAACATAATCTGGCCACAGTACACTTACATCCACTTACATTCACTCACATAACTAGAATTCAGACATAATTTGAAAGCCTCGGACAAAGCACAACATGATAATTGAATTACTCACGACTTCTTCTATCTGCTGATATAATTAGCCATTGGATCTTAACTTACTGCAGTTAATGACTCAACAACGAGTCAGGGTGTGCATTTTGACACTTTCAATCTCCTCTTTTGGCTCCTATATGTACCAAAGATTAAATTCGATTTTTTTTTTCACACGATCCTTCAATCCGTTATCTATCATTAGTAATAATAATAATAATAATAATACATTAAAACGTTTATTACAATTCAACTAAGCCTTAGCTGTGTATTGGTTTAGATTCAATCCATGTAAGGAGGTGTTACTCGTCTCATCTTTATTACTACCACTACATCAGTAAAATTCGCGTAAAATGAAAGTATGTCACAGGTTATGATACATATTGTAGTTGTTTCAAATCATAGTGTATTGTCAAGATAAATTCTCTAATTAGACATGCAACATTAACGACAACTTTTGGCTAGAAATAATCGGCAAAAAAAGGAGAATCAAATTGGTTATACCATTCTTGGTATTATTGCAAGTTTAAATTTGTATCTGGAAACAAATTCATTTAGACCCCAAAAGGCAGAAAATCAACAAAAAAATCAAAATATCAATTTGTGATGTCAAGTAGACAACTTGGGATGATCTTGGCAACAGTCAATTTTGGAATAACTAACGATTATCCAACGGTCTGAACTCATTAGTGGTACACAAATGATTTGAATACAAAATTGGATGAAATGAAGACTGTTTAAAAAAACCATAAAATATTTTTTATAAACAGCTCAAAAGGAAAGCTGAAATAGAGAAAAATAGAAAATTAGAAGTCTTTACAAGTTGTATTATGTTGTCGTAATCTTTTTGTACATGCAAGTTTTTGATGACATCTCAGGTTAGTGTATCTTGTTGCATCGTTCATATTGTAAATGAAAAGTCGTCAGATTGTTATGTCACGTGACCTCCAATCACGACATGGGTCTGGATTTCTTTCGAAAATCACTTAGTTGAAGTTGAGGATAAGGTAAAATATCTGATCGTTAAGTTTTGTTCTTGGAACGATTGATAAAATAAGTAAATATATATTCATTGTCTTCTTCGTCGAATATTACTGGTGAAATTTGCCCAAAAATGAATAAATTTTTTTTTTTACTTTTTCAAACAAATCGAAATTAACTAGAGTAATCTCCTAATGATTTTCACCAGGAAAAATAACCAAAGTGATAATACCTGCTAAAACAACGACGCCCCAAAACCCAAAGAAAACAATAAAATGACAATTTTTGGCCCTTGGTATTCTTTTTTTGGTGGCAAATTAAACTTGTTTCTTTTTCTCAATAGAATTAGTCATGGTAGCGCCACCAAAGACCGGTTAGAAATGCATACCATTGTTAGCAGAAAACAATCAATCACACCAAGTATCATCTTATACTCGGTGAGAATATATTCAGGATGACAGCATTTACTGTCTATTGCGATAAGACCTTCTATATCCTTCTGTGAGTGTAATTCCTTATAATTAAGAAGGTCGTGTGAGAAGTTCAGCGGCGTGAATTTTCGGATTTGAATTTTTTCTTATTTTTTTTTTTTTTTCGGTGAGTGGAATAACGAATCCTTTAACGAAATGAGTGTCAGAAACAGAGAGAGAGAGAGAAAAAAAAATTTCAAATCCCACTTTTCATAAACACCTATAGGTATTCATAAAAACACTAAAAGGAGCCAACAAAATATATCAAATGAATCCTTTAATCAAATTAACAATACCGATATCAAGAGGTATATTAATAAAAAACACCCGATTTTTATCAACTATACGACCAACTGGATCATTTTTAAGTCGAACTATCAGATCACCCACATTTGTTGGATTTAAAAGATTTGCATCGAATTCAACTATTAAATTATTACAAACTCAAGAGCAATCAGCTAATAATGATTTAAATAATATTCAAGCACAATTAGAATTTTATAAATCTTTATTAGCTTATAATTATCCTCATCTATTAGTACAACGTTTTGAAACCCCTGGGATTGCTTCAAATGCTGAATGTACTAAATTATATATCGATGCATTGAATAAAATTGGTCAAAAGGATAAAGCCGAACATGTTTCCAAAACTTTGTTAGTTCAGCAACAACAAGGTGGTGCAGGAGGAGCTGGAGCAGGAGCTGGAGGAATCCCATATGGATTTGGATCAAGATATGAACCAGTTCATGTTGTCGTTAGTGAATCAATGATGACTATTTTATCTAAATGGTTAAAATGGTTAATTCCAATAGCCTTATTAACTTATGGGGCTACTACTGCATTTAATTATTTGGGTTGAAAATGGAACTATTATTTAAAAACGCTGAA